CAGCATTTTTTCTTTTCATGGATTAATTTTATAGTGTCAGTTTTAACTTACCTGAAAACACTTAATGAAAATTAAATGTAATATCTTTAAGAGGATTACCTTTGTAAGGAAACTACTTGTTCTTAAAAAAAACCAAACCACTGGAATAGCTTCCCAGTTTAACTGCATTTTCATATGAATTCAAAACTCATCTTGGGTCAGACTCTCCAGGAAAACTTTCTCATGCGTTCTGTAGCAGTTGATTCATTCCTCGCTGCCTTCATTTTGCAGCTTTAAATGACAGGTTCGCTGGAAAGGCATCTACTTCAAAGCTTTATAAAATAAAGCTTTGAATAAATTACTGAGCTAGAAATTATGCTGGCGGTGCCCAACTTTGTGCCAGGATGTGGGAATACTTGGCACTGGGTGTGGAGTTCCAAGAAAAATGACCTCTTTCCTTTGCACGAGACCCCGCCGGCTTGCCGAAGTCAAAGAGCAGTAAGAGGGAAAACTGCTGCAGCTGAGGAGGCACGGAAGTCTCCGGTTTCCCTTTTCCGCAGCTCCAGTGAACGCATCCCGAACAACTGCTGTATATTAATACGCAGCATAACCGGTGCAACCGTGTGCTAATGATGGGATTCATACGCAGTACGGCTTCCGAAGACTACATGTCCCAGCATGGCGGGGAGCAGACAGCAGGCCGGGGAGCAGCACTGCATGCTGGAACTTGTAGTACCTTTAAAATACATCTCTCCCCTGACACCCCCCCCCCCATGCAGGCGAGTGTGCGGTTGTCCACCTCATGGTGTGGGACGCCGGGGTTTCATTTGCTCGGTGTCTTACTGAAGGTGATGGGCCCCAGGCTGTGTTATTCTGGATTATTTTTTTTTTAATCTATTTTTGCAAGCTTTAGGTAATATAATACTGACAACATAACACTTCTAAGCAGCAAAATAGTTGCTTTGTGGTTCACGAAGAGACAACCCGTTGCCCTCTGTACTTAGATTTCTGGTGTAACGTGCGTGCAGAGCTGATTTGTCCATAATTGTTTGCTTTCTTCAGAGTCTTTTGAAGTTTATGTCTTCAAGCCAATTCCTTATATTAAAAATAAAATCTTCCAAGCCACCAATAGCATGTCAACTGTGATTAAAGCCTGACTTCTCATTTTAAGACTTGTCTCCTAAGCAATGTGAGGTCACTCTATGAGTCAGCGTTTGAAAGGACCGTTATTCCTGAGAGTATGGGTAAAGCCCAAAGTTCACAGTTGCTTGCTTAAACGGTTTCACTGCATTTTAAATTGCTTTGCATTGTGCTGAACGAAACATAAACTGCGGGGCCAGAACTCATGATAGTTCAGGCCCCTCAAATCTTGAAAAAAATCCTCTATATTATTGTAGAAGTTGGATTTCTGGTAGGAAAAGTGTTACCTCCTGTGTACTAAAGAGGAGGGTGGAGTGGGAAGCTGTGCTTGAGGCATCAACTTTCAACTATGTTCTGTTGAAATAAAACTTGGGAATTGTAAAATATCCAGGCAAGAGCTTTGTCTTTTGTACAGTGCCCAGCGGAACAGAGCCGGAGTCTGATAAGGCTTTCTGGACACAGGAACTTATATTAATATAGATGGGCAGTAAAGCCCAAGTGCAAGCCCTGAGAAGTAAGGAAATGCTATTTTTAAGATCATCTATGCAGCCTGTTTATTCTTTTCGTGCATGTTAATTATAACAGTCTTCAATTACATGATCACATTTTCTTTTGTCACTCTTCCTCCCTGTTTGATGCGGTGCACACTATTTGGAGGTAATTAATCACACCGGAGCAGTAAATAACTCGGAGCAGGACTCTGCCTCCAGCCCACGTGTGTCAATCTGGGCTTTCCCCATCCCTTTCTCTCGGCCCTCTTCCCACCCTCCTAATTAACTCCCGCCTTGGTTCCTCGCTGCTCTGCATTCAAATCATAGAACCACAGAATAGTTTGAGTTGGAAGGGACCTTAAAGGCCATCCAGTTCCAACCCCCTGCCCTGGGCAGGGACACCTCCCACCAGCCCAGGTTGCTCCAAGCCCCGTCCAACCTGGCCTTGAACACCTCCAGGGATGGGGCAGCCACAGCTTCTCGGGGCAACCTGCCCCAGGGGCTCACCGTCCTCACAGGAAAGAATTTCTTCCTAATATCTAATCTAATTCTCCCCTCGTCAATGATCAAACCCCTCTGTCGCAGTGCTGCCTGGGTGTCCGTGGAGAACCCTTGGGTCTCTTTGCACGGTGCCGAAGAGGGGACGGAGAGGTGATCTGAGAGGAAAGCCCTGCTGGCCGCCTCCTCCCGTGGCAGGAGTTTGGGTCATTTAGCTGCGAAGTGCTCCGATGGGGATTATCAGTGGTTCGAGCGGGTATGAAACACGTAACAAATTTTGGCAAGTTTCAAGTTGTCTCCCCCTTCCACTCTCAGGTTTTCCAACAACCTGACTGTGATTTTTTTTTTTTCTCCTTCTTTCCTTAAGCATCAGTCAAAATTCCCAACGCTTCTCTCGGGAGCGTTTGTTGGAACCTACTTTTCCCTGAACCCGCACCCTGCAGGGCCCGGGCCGGGAGGTGGTGGTTTGGGGGTGGTGGCGGTGGCAGCGGGCTCTGTGCCGGGCT